TGCTACATAAGCCTGGAAGCCAGGGGGTGAACTAGGTGCTCCTACACTGTGCACACCTGCACTGGCCACCTGAGGGCTGGAAAGGGGCTTTCCCTTGTCTGTCTGCTTGCCTTTGCCCCTAGAGGGAGGCCATGCTGACTTTCTCCATGGAGCTGGAGCTGGGCCGGACCAGGTGTGGAAAATTTGAGGACGACATTGAAAACTGCCCATTCCAGGAGAGCCTAGAGGTAAGCAATGGCGTCCAGGAGTGGCTTTGCCCCCTTGTTTTGCAGAGGGGGACACCATACACTGCAGGGCAATGTGGGCAAAGAGCACAGAGAACCCAGGGATTCTCAGGGCAGAGCCAGAGGTGAGAGTGGCCCCAGCTCACCACCTACTGGTGGCCAGATGGGTGCAGAGGCAGCAGGTGGCTCCGAACCACCAGTGTCTACAGGTGCCTCCCTCTCTTCCTGCATGCTGAGGGCTGCATGAAAGTAAAAAACGTGCCACATACAGGGTACCTCCTGGCTGCCTCACCCACTGCCTTCTCTGCCTCCATGGGGAAAGAGCGCTGGTTCCTGCTCCAAGCTGACCTTTGTGCTCAGAGCCCTCAGGGCCTGCCTGCCCTCACCCAGACTGAGGGGCTTGTGTGGTGGAGAAACCCTGCTGAGCTGCGATGCCCTCCCTGGGAGTAGCGCTGGGCACCCTCAGGGTGAGCATTAGGTGCCCTGGATGGGGGTTGTGCAGCTCTCTTTGGAGATCCAGGGTCCAGGGTTTGCTCCAGGAGTTCCCTGCAGGTCACAGATTGGTGGGGTGGATGAGGGTGGGCATGCAAGATACAGGCAGCTGTAGGACAGGAGAAATGTGGGTGATGCAGAGCTTAGGACCTCTCAGCATTCAGCAGTCCTCATCTGAGGACATGGCCTACAGTCCTGAGCTGTTGGCTCCTATCACAGCCCCGTCCACCACTGCTGGCAGGGAGAGGGCAGCTTGTCAGAGCGTGACTGTAGCTCAAGGCCTCCTTCACCCTGGTCCTTCACATCATGTCCCCATAGATGCTCAGCTGCTTCTTCACCATCAGAACCCAGCCCTGGAGAACCAAATTCCACCTCCTGAATAGCACCTGCAAGGATGATGCCCCAAACTCCTGAGCTCGCCCCAGGGCCACAACTGCTCCTCATGGCCTCCAGCAATTCTGTGGGAAGCAGTCTTCATATTGGCAACGGTCCCCTGTATCCCAGGGTCTCGGCCTCTCACGAGGGCCCTGGATTCTGTAGAAGTACGTGTGTACTTCTGCAGTCTCTTTGTGTAGGAGACCATTAAATGTCAGCATGCAAGCAGCTCTCTGTGTAGTGTTTTGGGGAAGGGGTACGGAAGAGAGGCCAAATTAGCAACCCTGACTCAGCCCCCTGAGTGCCCTCTCACCTGTTTGCCCATGACCCACAAGCTGATAGCCCTCCCCCAAGAACCTGCATTTCCCTCCTCATTGGGAGCTGTCCCTGGG